TCAATTTAATGGGACCATATAATAATATGAATGACTCCCCGAGAATTTCAGCTCGAGGAAGATTATTTCATGAACCATATAAAAATACTCTACAGATACTATTGGAAAAAAAAAATCTGAAGGCCATCTGGGGCATCGTCCACCAATATTCTTGGGGTATTCTCAGCATATCTACAATAGCAAGCAATTCATCTTAAGATAGAGCTTCTGAGCTTTCCTTTCTTGTTTGAGGAAAATATGGTAGGTTTCGCCTTTTTGCATTATACGCATCCCTGGCACATTTGAATTCGATATATTCAAATGGATTTATCTTACGTTTATGTTCAATAAAGTAACTCCCCTGTATCTAGTTTTCCCATATCAATTTTAACTGCGTACTCCTAATATTCGTAAACATTCTCCTCACCCAATCTTTCAGGATTTGAGCGATCACCAGAGTTGGTGCAAAAAACCATGAATTGTTCCAGACATACTCTTTAATCGCCTTGGTATATTCTGATATTAATTCGCTTACATAATTATGGATTTCCGTAGTGGAAGTCGACCCAAAACGGGACATTTCAATTTTCGAGTGACTGATAGGTATGTCAAACTTTGACAACCATATCACTCTTACAGAATAGCCGCTCATATTATTTGTTTACCTGCATATAGCCGCTGATATCGCATATCATGTGAGAACACAACACACAACTAAATAATCAGATAATATTATAATTATCTTTGAATATTCGCATCTTCACTAGATGAAACCAGGATTTGACGATGAAGGTGACAGCCGATATCAACGTCAGGCTCGTCAGGAAATTAGGTTGACAATGTAGTTAGTCTTCTACTTATTTTTCTTGTATTTCTGGAAACTTAGGCAAAATAATTTGGGATTAAATAAAATCTCGATGATTATTAGGAATACTAGGATATTTTCATTGGTATTGAAGCATCTTGCAAGTATATAAATATTCAATAAGTGATAATTAGGTACCAGGTCGAACCATTGTCTTCTGTTCTAGTACTCCGAAATAATGAAATAACATTTTTCAATGAAACAGGCCCATACTGTGTCTTTTTGCTTATACATCTAACACATTCATGGATTGGTGAACTTCGAAGCATGGTCGACATGATGGCGATATTTTCACCCAATAACGTCGTTGCGCTATCTGTTTCACTGTTATGGTGTCTTCAATTCCTCAGAATTCTTCTTATTTTGCAACAAAAACACATAAAATGGCAGGTATGAATATTCAATTGAAGACCTCGGTGCAAGAACCGGGCAACTCCAATTTTTTAAAATGTTGGGGAATGGAAAAAAACTTAATATTTTTGAGAAACTCGAAAAAATAAGGCTAAATGGTATGAATCCTTCAGAGTTACGATAGATAAGCTGAATTCACCTAGATACTAATTTTCATTCACATTGTAGAAGCTGAAAAAGAAGTTTGAAAAAATGGAGTAGCCTATTTCTTGTCCCAAAAAGAAAAAAATCTGAAAAATATTGTAACAAATAGTATTTTGAACGTAGGAAGAATCGCTGACGTTTCCTGCGTCTTGATCGTCGTTAACATTGCCAGAATTCGGGTCCTCTTCGTCAACAGTTATGTTTTTGGAACATATTCACTTCCCGAATCTTGAAAGGGCTCACTTTCACTTTCCGACGACATTACATTGTATTGCATGAAACAAATGATCAAACTAATCACGCCACACACGATGGAAGACGCGAGTAGGCTTGCCGCTAATAACCTCACTCCGACATCTTCCACTACACGCGTACATTTCGGTGTAAGAGTCGGGTAACTCCTGGAGTTGCCCGACTCTAGCACCGTCATGGCTTACATTTCGGTGCTAACATCGGGTAACTCCTGGAGTTGCCTGACTCTTGCACCTCAATGGCTCATCAGGAAAATCCTTTCCCGTGTTAACGTGGATTCGCTTGATTCTTGCACCAAAAGATGCGTAAGAAATAATTCTATATGTTTAATTCAATAACCCAATTTCGGCATAAAATGGAGTTGCCCGGTTCTTGCACCGAGGTCTTCAATTCCAGTTCAATACAGAAAAATTCGTGGCTGATGATGGTTATGATTTGCCGCATTCCATTCGTTCATTGTCACCGAAATAACATGAACTAACCCATTGAGTTAACCATATGTTTATAACAGTTGTATGTTGTATAATTCAATATGAATCCACATAAAAACAAATGGCCGGATATGCTACTTATGCTAGTGCCGTCTTCCGAACGCATACCAAATGAGTCAATGCATAGATTAAAAATGGTTAAAGCAAGTACCATTGTTGAAATCGAATTGCCATTGCCGATGAATCTTCAAGGATTTTTTAGGAGAAAGTGCGTCAATTTCTGGAATTGAATGTACTGAGTCAGTCGCGCGTCGGCTTGGGACTGCCCTAATAATTTACAGTTGCAAATACTTAGTGTATTATAATAAATAAATTAGGACATCGAAAATTAATATCATCAAGATGAAATCGGAAATTCCCAATTTTAAATCGGAATTTTCATCAGCGTGCCAAATCCGAGTTTCTAGAATTTTTTGTTCCAATTTACATTCCCGGGGTTTGATAGATCCCAATGTTTCGGTTTTTCTGATCACATACACTTATACAGGGCGTTCCTTGAAGACATGCTAATATTCAAGTGGGAGACTCTTCAAATCATTTCAAGAAAAAAATTCTCCACTAACGTATGTCCTAATAGTCTTAACTTTTGAGAAACAGGGTGATAAATAACTGAGATGATATTGTAAACATCTTTATGAAATTTAGTACATATCTGTATACCAATTTTCCTCTTCTCTACCGACGAAGGAATATTTCCAAATCTGATACATTGCTTTAAAAAGTAATTTAATTTTGTACAAAAAAGATCCTCTTGTTGATACCCATTAGGACGCTCCATTTTCGAGAAAAAACGAAAAAAAAGAGATCAAACTTTGATGTAAATACGAAGCTGACTACTCCATCATTCCGGACATTAAATTACTGGACAACCACAGTATGTTGTAACATTTCGAAATTTTTGCACAGTCAGTCCCATAGCAGAATGAATTTTGCCATCAGGAAAAGCTATACAGGGTGGACAAAAAAAGAATCTATGTTTCTCAAAAGTTAGGACGTTCACGACATACGTTCATGTGAAGTTTTATTCTTGAAATGGGTCCGATAATGACCCACTTGAATATCAGCATGTCATTAAGGATGACCCTGTATAAGTGTATAGGTTTGACAACTCAAAGGCTTCTTTTTTTTTCAAATTCTCACATTTTGTCTACATCAGGTGAGCACCATTTTTTACGTAATTGAATTTTTATTGGTATTTTTATGTTCATAGTTATATGTTATTTAAGTTTCACGACATCATATCCACATTGTTTGTGTTTGTGGTGAATCCCTATCAGGAAGTTTTTTATGTATTATCAATTTTGTCTCTATTTGATAATGATTTACTGTCCCCCAATTAGATATCCGTCAGATAAAAGTAACCCCTGCAGGTAAAGTTCCAGTTTGTTAGGAAGTGATGGTATTTCGATAGATGTTTACCCTTTAGTTCGAAGTTGTAGATAGTTGACTGATAATGAATGTTGGCAATAGTGACAAACGAATTTAAGCAATGCTTTTGACTGTTTGTTAATATTAAGGCCACGAAATGTTCAACCACAACTGTTGTCGGTTTTGGACTGTCAGGCACGAACTAAATTTATCAGGTGGTTGGAATTTTTTCAATTTCGCTATTCATACTTGGATTTGATGCGCATATGCATTTTTTTTCAATATCTAGGTCCATATATACAGGGTGTTTCCGATCTCAATTGTGAAAATTGAAAGACAAGTTCATTCAAATTTTTCAATATGAATTGCCTTTTGGAATTTTCAATTGCGCACCTATTGGTCGCCACAATCACGGTAGATATAATCACGCCAAAAACATACCGGTTTATATGAACTTTTCTCTTTATTTCCGAGAACTATATATATTTGAAAACTAGGAGTTTGGGTTGAACCGCGTCTAGAATCTGAAGATGTTCGACGTTTCGGCACCGATTTTGGAGCCATTTTCAAGAACTGAAAAATAGAATTGAAATGATGATAGGAAAATATAGGGAGTGATTTTTCACTTAGGTCTCGATCTGCCTACTCCTCAGGTAATATCACGAAAGGTATGTGACTTGACACCGAGGTCTCAATCTGCCTACTACCCAGATCTCGTCACTGGTTCTCTAAGGTCTCATTCTGCCTACTCCTTCGAGAGAACTGTTCTCTGTCGCCTATAGGTCGCGTGAACGATGACCGACCCTGGAGGTAAAAAATTGAAACACAACCTCACTTTTCTGTAAACCAAACACAGCCTCACTTTTCTTGTTTGTTAATTCAATTCAATTTATTCATCAATGGTAATAATATACATGGAATAAAAAAGTATATCAATTTTCATGTGTAAAATGAGATGTCTCACTAGAATAGAATCACCTAGGCTTGCAAGCCTGTTTTGTGTCAGTGGTCAGTAAGGCCATCTGAATGAAATGTATATCCTTATTTAAGGCGAAATAGCACTAAAGTAGAAAATGTTTGAAAATGAAAGAAATAGGGTAATTAGGGTAATTATGGTAAATTGGGTAATGTCGAGAGAAATTGGATGATACATAACTGTATGTCTTTAGTAAGTTATATTTATGACTGGATTGATCCTTTGTTGTAACGACCGGATAATTGTTTTTTTTTATATTGTTAAGATGTTTTCTACATGAGAGGTATTTCTCATTTTCTAGGTACTTCTTCCGTGTCTGAAGATGGCCGTAGAGCCGAAACTATAGTCACACGCTGATTATTTTTATAATAAATATTGCGGTCGACCGACTTTGAGTTCGTTTACTCCTCCTGTTGAAAAATACTGGACCACTTTGAGAATGGATGGTTTCCATTAGAGTGTTTCCATGACTTGTCCATCTGAGAATGATGGCACGTCTTCTTCTCTTTTCCAGGCCTACGTGGACCGCTACCGCGGCAAGAAGCAGCGCGACCTCGAGCCGCACGTCTTCGCCCTGGCCGAGGCCGCTTATTCCTCGCTGCAGACCGACTCGCCGGCCAGCGGCCACGTCAACCAGAGCCTGGTCATCAGCGGCGAGAGCGGCGCCGGCAAGACGGAGTCGACGCGCTTCATCCTGCAGTACCTGTGCTCGGTGACCAGCGGCGTGTCCGCTTGGGTGGAGCAGCAGATCTTGGAGGCGAACACCATCCTCGAGGCTTTCGGTTAGTAGGGCAATGCAAAGATCCGTGTCAATCATGAGAAGACTGAGTTGATGAATTTCACTAAAAAATATACCAACAGTACTTTACACGGGCCTTTGCTTGTCAAAGACGCAAGGGTGACGGTCAACACCTCAGTGAAATACCTGGGAGTAGTGCTGGACAAGCGTATGTGCTTCAGAGATCACAAAATTAATTGGTAAAGGCCATGCAGCCATAAGACAATTGTATCCATTGTTGGCCAGGAATTCAGGACTAACAATGGAAAACAAACTGCTCTTATACAAGCAAGTGATAAGACCTGTGATTACATACGCTTGTCCGGTGTACTGTAGCGCCTCCGCCACTCAACTGAAAAGGCTACATGTGCTACAGAACAAGGTACTCCGAATCATTACTAACGGTAATAGATACACTCGAGTGGCTGACATGCATGCTCAATGTCATGATCTACCCTTGATTAAAGATTACATCATTAACGTTTCAAATAAATTTTATAAACATCACATCCAGAATAGCGAACTCACAAGAGATATAACGAGAATAAGGGCAGATCATGACATCCGTAGGAAACATGGGCTGATTTATGAGGCCAGCGATGTATTCAGGGAACCCCCTGAATAACTCCCTCACCCTCCCCTCATCTCTAATAGACTGACTCTAGACAACAAACAGCTGAGAAGCTGAATTGAACGAGAACGGTACTCGTTTGGCCGGGCCGTATAGTCTAGACGCTGTGTGGCCCGGCTGCACGACTATCGGATCATTACCATGGAGCAGGACTCAGAGATAGCACGCCTATCGGCTAACAAAACTAGTGTATTTGCCGATACGAAATCATTCTATTAGATCCCAATCATTAGATCCCAATCACTCTCCCACACCTATCCCACACCTATCCCACCCCTCATCCCTCATAGTGTCTTTCACAGAGAAATTTCAGAAGTTGGTTTTTTATTTTTATTTTCCAACACAAAAAATGCTAAATTAGAGAGAAAAAGGTAGCAATCGACGATCAATCTTTTTTGCCCTAGGCAACTCACTGACATGAGCTGGATTAAAGGTTTAATCCTAGGAGTCAGCTCCCTCATGACTCCCATCAGGGTTGTTAGACAAAAATCATCGGCAAGGCCTGCATCGGCTGCCTCTGAGGGCTCCCTTGGAGGGTAATTCTGTGGCGTATCTAAGTGTTTTACATTGTATGTTTTACATTTTTATCATGTCCAATGTCCCCTTTAGAAGATTTTTGTTTATACACCCTGTATTGTAAAAATGTTTTTATTGAATAAATGGAATTGAAACGGTTAGTAGGGGAATCTGGAGAGATAGATTGGAAAATATTTTTTTGCTGCAACCGACACAAAAGTCGTCCATTTTAATACCAAAGGGCACCATTTACATTGAAATCTTGTCTACGGTGAAATCCTGTGAAAATCTAGGATTGAATAGATCAAATCATACTGAACAAGAAATGTCCTTTGGTCCAAGGTCCGTTATGCCCATTAAAAGAAGTTATAAGCTCTTGAAGCCAAACGAGATAACCTCTACCAGAACAGCACATCCTGTGTATATTATGGTTTTGGCTAATATGATATTTTTGAGTTGTCAGATAGTGGTCATTCATGTTATGTCAGTAAACGCCATTGAGCAAAGGTATTACTTTGTTCAAATACGTTGCAAGTCTCGACCGGGGACTATTAGTGGCCTATCCATATAACGGAAATCACCAATCAATGGTGTCAATATTATACCATCAGCAGTTGAGATGTTCTGCAATCACATTTATTTGCTTGTTCACCTCCGGAGCCGTTTTTCAATGTCATTTAGAGCAAGACATAATTTACTTGGAGCGTTCTGTAATTTGACAGCCAGGAAAAAAATAAAATTGTTTTGCTCGCATTATTTATTCAGAGGAAGTAGATATATCTCAACTTTGACAGCTTTTTGTTAAATGACAGGTATTGATTATTGGAGTTTGAGCACTGGTTTCTGGTTCGGTTTGAATCATTGAATCTTATTGAATTAATTCGATTAGTATAAGCACAGTAGTTTCTCTCGCAGTTTGTATAAGCCAAATATGAAGGAAGCTAGTATAGTTTACACAGAAACAGGCGTGTCCATAATAGAAAATGAGAAATTTTTGATCCAAATTGGTAAGAAATCAAATTTTATTGTCATTGCAGTAGTATGTTACTATAACTGATCAAATGAAGCGGCAGTTGGGCCTTCAAACAGAATTTACACTACAAACAACTTATGCTGCTGATGCAAGTAGTTCTACTGGAATGGAAAATAACTCAGAAGACACTAGCAAACTCTGGACACATGAAGTAATAATGTTACTTATTAATCTCATGAAAAAATATAAATTATTAGTGTAGAATCATGAAGTTTCAGCAGAAGTATTTCAAAGGTCTCTGGAAGGAGACGAAAATGTTCTTTGAATTGTCTGTCATTGAAATACACGGTCACTTCAGAAAAATTCTCTTTATTTTCTAGAACGGCTGCATCTTCATCATCTTCATTGATTATATCAATCATAAAATTGATCACAATATTTATAGCAACACCAAAAACATTATTTACATCCACTTTCAAGTAAAGTTTTCAGTGGATGACATGATCCACATGATCGAAAATCAATTCATGTCGGAGCATGATGTCACTCACGACTCCTCTAGGAGTGTTCTTTTATTTTATTTATCTGTATGCTCCAGAGGTCACATGACTGAAAATCTTCTCGCTCTCACTCTGCTCTTAGATGCGATTACAGAACATCTCAACTGACATGTTCCTGACAAGATTGGGCATTTTCAGGAATAATAGTTGTTTATTATACAAGGGAAAAAAGTAGTGGATTTTAGCTCCAGGTTGTGTTGTCTCCCGACGCGTAGCGGAGGGAGACAAAAAACCGTGAGCTAAAATATAATATTTTTCCCGTGTATAATTACACTATTTTTATCTGTGATAGAAGAAAGGACGAATCAATATTGAGAAGATACTATATTATTTTTGAATCTGAAAATTATCGACGTGAAATTTCAAGTAGGGATCGACCGATACCGATATTTATATCGGCCTATCGGTGATATCGGCCTCATTGGCCGATTATCGTATCGGCCGATATCAAAAACCGATAGACCGATGGACCGATATATTTTTTTATTGGGAAAAAAAATCAATTTGAAAATTGATTGAAAAAAATACACTTCCATCAAAAATATATATTTATTACCAATAAGAAGTATGTAACGTAAAATCAACTAAATTCTTTGACTAGTAATTAATAAAATAAAACCCTTTGCGGATTGCAACTGTAAGGTAAAATTATTTCACCTTACTAAAATACAAAAATAACTGATTAATACTGATAATTTAGTTTTGGTAGGTTGTGATGCAAAAACAATAAGCTTTCTGCCCTATCAGGAGTTAGCCTGCTACGTTTTGCATCATGAATATTACCAGCTTCAGAGGAAAACTTGTTAATGGCGGATAGACCGATATATCGGTATTTGAAATATCGGTATCGGCCGATTATCGGTATCGGCTAAAATTTCTATTTCGGTCGATCCCTAATTTTAAGTTTTTAACAGTAGGGACACCTACGTTGTAGGCATCTTTATCATTCTTCTGAAGTAATCCAATATCTGATGTCACTTCTGTCAGTCTAATTCTGTGATTTGATTTCAATAAATTGCGAATTTAGTGGTTGTTTAGTAATATACGTAACCGCGAAGTCGAATGGAAGATAAAAGGACTTGCAGTTCTTTCTCGGAGACGGTATTATTGACTCATTTTTCGGAACTATAGCACAACAAAAGCCATCAACAGTGTATATACATATATGTGATATATATATCCGGGAAAAAAGTAAAAGTCTTGTTTTACAGTGTTCGATACATCAATGAGGTACAGTTGTGTGCATAAACAGGTCGTACAGCAGTTATAGGCTATTGTGAGTCAGACTTGTCAATCTTGATCAATCTGCTTGTCGACTGTGACAAGTAGTGTCAAAATTCAAACTATTTTTGTAAGTAACGCGCAAATGTGTACGTGTACTACTTTTTAATGAAATCTGGAATATCATAGGCAGGTTTACACCATACAAACCTGGTACGACTTCTTTATGCACACAACTGTACTTTGTATGCCATCAATTTTATTTACGTATCTGATATCACAATGACTCCATTGTGTTATTATTTCAAAAATAAAAACTCATCGCCCATGGAATGTCAAATTTCAAGCATTTCCAAGCAATGACAGCTCTGACTAATAGATGATCATTACTTGACAGGAAATCAGATGGCAACAAGCCGAGGAAATCGAAAATGCCGCTGTTATCTGTTACAGCCGTAGAAATATTATAGTGTATAACTTGCACGGAATGCTAATTTCCTACTCGAATGATTGCAGCATTCGTCTGCCCAATCGTTATGAGATCCCGGTACGGGACATTACTAATCACTGAGGGTGACTAGGAACAGCCTTAACCGCTTCCACCTCCCCCGTTGCAGCGCAACGGTCCTCATAATCAAAAAGTCCACATGGGGCTTGTGACTTTGAGAGTCGGTTGTTTGGGGGGTGAAAAAGTTTGAAATGCAAGCCAATCCGCAGGGACTGACGTCTAGAATCTGACTTCTAGTGGTGTTCACGTGACTTTTGGGCTTATTGGTTTTTTGAAAATAAGACTCATAAAGATTTCGCATTACGTGAAATAGTTACTATTCCTGTGTTTGATCTAAATGGGTGAGAATTCTTTCGGGGTTTTGTGTTGTGTATGTGTGTTGTGTAGTGTGCTTACCTGTCCAAAAGTTGGGTTCTTGGACGTTTATGCCTTTCCCGGAATCGAGGATCGTGGTTTGTCGCCTCCCTGACGTGAGGATTTTCGTGATTTTCCATTCCTGCGAATGTTTTCACGACATGGATTTTCATATTGTCCAGTATCTTGGTGTGGTTAAGATCTCTGAAGATGGCATCATTCCGGACGAACCAGGGGGCGTTTACTATCATCCTCAGGGTGGTGTTCTCGAATCTTTGGACTCTTATCAAGTGTGACTGAGCACAGTGTCCCCAAGCTACTGACGCGTAGGTCAGTATGGGCAGGAGAACTGTTTTCATTAGCAGGAGTTTCAGATCCAGTCTCATTTGGCTGTTGCGTCCTATGAGAGGAGACAGATGCGCTCTGGCTCCAGCGGCTAATCGCAAGCGATCTTCCACATGGGTTTTGAACGTCATCCTCTTGTCTATTTCGACTCCCAGATATTTGGCTGAGAGCATTCATCTATGGCTCATGCTGCAAACTTCATTCTCGTAGGAAATCACTATCATTCCGTGCTCGATAAACAATATACTATTATTCCTCACCCAAACTTCTTTTTTCAAAGTCAAAAGCATTCAATAAAACCAATTGGATAGAATTTCATCAATTCGTTTAGAGGTATTTCCTCTGATAATTTTTCTTTATTTCAAGGAAATGCAAAGACAGTACGAAACGACAATTCCAGTAGGTTTGGCAAATTCATGCAAGTTTGTTTTGATTCGAGATGGATGATTGCTGGATGTATCATCCAGGATTACTTGCTGGAACAGTCTAGACTCACATTTCAAGGACCAGGAGAAAGAAACTATCGTGTTTTTTATCAGCTAGTGGAAGAAGCCAAAGTAAGTAATATTATGTTCCTTGTAAGGTAAATTGCCGAACAGGTGCAATGTATGATAGATTTTGTTAAAAAAAAAATTACCCAAATTTTGAGGTACAGTCAGTAAATTTCAGCTTGAAAGTATGGAGAATTACTTTGAGAAATCATATACCTATGTGAAGTTATTTCAATCTCAGTTGAAATGACATCATACTTTGTAAATAAATATTGCCAAAACTCTACCACGAAAAATACTAGTAACTTTCGAAATGAGACACCTACGTTAACCATCTAAATTAGCAAAACAATACATAATTTCCAGATTTATTTGCCATTTTTAGGTGGGGATTGGTATGATCAGCTAATTTCTACGAATTATCCGTTAGCAAATATTGGAAATATCATTTCATAACTATTTGTGATTAATTTGTGAATCATTAACTTTCAGAATGTGGCAATTAATGTTATTCATTTTTGTGAATATTGATTCGCATCCATTTCAATTCGTTTCAAATTTTTGTCGATAATGTATACAGATTTAATGAATGATTTGAAAAAATAATCATTCCTCGAGGATCCAATCAAGTGTCAACCATTGGTAACTTCGTTAATATTAATGTTACAATTAGAACCAATTGAGCTTCGCGTTTTCGCGTTTGAACGAAAAATACATTTATCTACTCCTATTAAATTATATATCAATGATTCAACTGCCGTTGTACAATTAATAGTATCTATAAACAAACAGCGTGAGTTATAATAACTCTCGCTACTATAACTCACTATAATACTTACATCGAGAAAGGCTCTTGGAATTATTTACGAACCGAAAATCAAGATGGCTCAGTACTTTTGTACAAGCCAGTTGGCCGAAAGGGAACAGTCCATTATTGTTATTGAGGGGAGTGATGTCAGTTGAATAATTTTGACGTTTTCAAACTAGGCTGATACAATTATTGTGATTTTTTTGATGAATTCAGATAGTGAAGATGGATTATCATTTGAATTTCCATATGGAAAATATCACTCACAAAGAATGGCATTGATAAATTTTGAGCAATGGGGAAAGACATTGCCACATTTCTGAAATTACCAGACTGTAATTTATATACAGGGCATTGTTTTCGCCGCTCGTCGGCAACTTTATTAATAGATGCCGTACGGCACTGAAACGCCATGGCGGTTGGCGATCAACTACTGTGGCTGAGGGGTACGTTGATGATTCCGAAAAGAATAAGACAGATACTGCAAATAAAATATACAGTTCTATTACAGCTCAATCAGTTAGTACATCAACAACATATATGCAACAAACACAAAAAGAAACAATAAACTTCCATAATTCAGTTCCAACATATTCAGTTTACTGTTAACTTCACAGTTAATTTTTTCAATAAACAATATGCGAGTGATTGAATCTAAAATTTGTATTAAGTATATCAAGATTTGTCAATAAAGTTCTTTCTCTGTACTTGTAACTTAGGATTTATTGTAATAGTCGTAGATAAAGTATAGTATTCAACTTGCGGTAATGGTCATAACTCACTTGATGAATTACAGCACTCGCCTGTGGCTCGTGCTGCAAACTTCATCTGCGTGAGTTATGACCTACATTACCGCTCGTTTAATAATATACTATTTCCTTGAATATGGAGATAATGAACTTTGAAATCCCTTATTCTCATTATTTTTTCTCTATTCGCCAAACATATTTTTTGTTTTGATTCACAGTTCTGAAATCTCGGCGACATACAAAAAAACTTTTGTTCTGGCTCTCCTGTCGGAACGAGAAAATTCGTTTTTACACTTACATAATGTATGTAAACACTGTGGTTCAAATAAGTTTCGGAGCATCGGTTGAGGATAGTTCGGTACGATTCATTGCTGCTCCCAAAGTGGCGCATGGAGTTAGTAACAAAGCCTACACAGAACAAAAAGAAAGAAAATGATGTGGTTGTGAGCAACAGACATGAATTAGGACGGTGTATGTGGGTGGGTGTGGAAAACTAACAGCTGAGCATGAGTGCGGGCCAATGCTTCGAAACACAACCGAAAAACTCTGAAAGAGAGCTGAAGGACGGTACTTGAAAAGGGTGTTAGCCAGCTCTTCAAAGCGAACCACATCACTGATTACACATTGGGGCTTGCAAAAAGGTTTCAAATGAACTCCTTTTTTTTAAATTTCCTGATGAGTTGTCTGCTTCGGCAACTTGTTTTTACAGCAATTTTTAATATTCGATTATAATCACTATTGCTATTGAAAAACATCTGATTTGAATCGTCTGGTCAGTCGCCATTATGACCTACTATTCTCTTTTCGAATCTTTCCTCAGGTATGGAATAAATGTCTAGTGCTCAGCTTCCCAAATACACCTGCATACACCTGTTCTGGCACAAGAACATGCTATAAGGAGTATATTTAATGTGAAGTGAAAAGAGAAGTCTTCAGTAAACCACTGTTTATGGAACTCCAAACCCCAATTTATGTGAAGAGCAACTCAAATACGTTCAAGGCACACTCTGCTGTTCACTCACAGAACACCAGGAAACATAAAAATCTGATACTGATACTAGTGATACTGCCCCTCACACGCTTAAAAATATGTGATGACATAGGTGTCAAGCTTTGTTATTCCTCCCCTGATATGCATCTATTTCTTTAGATACCTTTTCCTTTTTTCATTGTTTTCAGATTAATTCATCTAAATTGTTCTAAAATTGTTCTCATCCGTCATCCGGTTGCCCCCTTACGAGCAACCCTCAAAAGTCTTCAAGAGACTTGTGCAAGCAAGGAATGAAGGGGGCCTTACCTTTTAACGTGTGATCCCAAACATTTTCTCAGGTCATCATAAAAAGTATATAGTCGTAGGAATCGAACCCACCAACTGGCAAATCCATCGTGAATAGAATACTGACGCTTCAACCACGCGGTTACACTGGTCATTCAATCATTCATCTATCATCATTTATTCATTAATTCATCATTATTCATGTATATGAGGAGCCTAATACAGTTTACTTGCTGTCTTGCAAGGTGGATAAAGTGAATTTGAATTGTTTTTCTGCAGACACTTCAAGTTTTAGACGAAAAAACTCATTACGACATTGTCTTCTAAAATACTGATATTTTGGTAATTTGAACAATTTTGCATCTTCAATAATAGTTTTTTTTCCAATGGCTGTGGAAAATTGATTTGAATAACCCTGATGTATAAATTTCAGCAAAAGAAAAATTAATTTCAAGATCAATCTCCATTACTCATATCATAGCCAAGAAGGAATGTTGCTCAAAGTAACTACATGATAAGGGATCATATCAGTTCTTTGAAAGGTTAATAAACCAATAAATTATCTTTCAGCATAAAGATAATAATTTATATTCTTCATAGGGTAGAAACACTCAACATTGTTTTGTTTGTTCATTTGTTTCTTGCAGATTTCCAGGAAATCTCTTTTATTTGTTATAGTTCGAGCATTTATCTTATCTAGAATATATACAATCCTGAAGATTTTTGATTTATTAAATCTGATAATGCATTTGAAGAAGTTTTTTGACTACACGAGATCATGAATTGAACAATTCTTTTTCTCTTGGAATATTATGTTATAATATGGGGATATAATATGAATAAAACAATATTTCTTGGTTAATACATTAGCAATACCAATCAGTCAATCAAAATGACATGCATTTTTCTATTGATGTTTCAGGAATTTGACGTACATTTGTTCTTTTGCTAAATAAGGCAAGAGCAAGACATCAGAGCTACCGATCGTATAAAAAAATATCAAAATCTCATTTCAAATTTCTTCAAATTACTAATTGAAATGAACTGATTCTTGTACGAGTTGAAGAAATTTTGTTTTGTTTTAATTTCAGTATGACAATGAACTCGCTAGTCAACTATTTCTAAGAGAAGCCAAATTCTACAACTATCTCAACCAGTCGGACTGCGCGAGCATAGAGGGAGATTCAAAAAGACTGGATAGCTTAAGATTAGCCTTTAACGTGTTGCAAGTGCCAGCGAACAAGTGCAATGGCATCTTTCAAACTCTGTCGGCCATTTTGTGGTTGGGAAATTTGACATTTGAGGACATCGACGGCGAGCGGTGTCAACTTACCAAAGAAGATGAAAGTATTATAGAAATATTATCAAAACTCTTAGGATTAGATATGGAAAATATTAAGCAAGTCGTTTTGCTGAGACAAATTAACGTTAGGGGTAACATTACGGAGATACCTCTCAAGCTACAAGAGGTAAGCACAAGTTGATTTATGTGCCATTCAAATAATGACTGATACAACTTTTGCATAGTCTCAGTATTAACACCTTTGTTGAATATATCCAGGAACTAACTAAAGGATTCTATTCAACGGTATATATGAATCTTTTGTGATTCCAAAGACAAAAATGACTGTTCAAACTTTTTATTTATTTGACAACATCAATCATAATTATTTTTCTAAAAACAAAACCTGACACCTGTAACTATATACAGAGCATCTATAAGGTGAAATATAAATAATTAACATTCTCCAGCCTCCAAGAAAAGTAATTTGTTGACTGAGCGAACGAAGTTTCCATTTTTGGTATTTACTTCCACCGTTCTAACTTGTCCATCAGGACCCGGAAACAATTTTGTGACTCTTCCAAGTCTCCAATGGTTTCTGTTAGATTCATCTGGAATAGCGATTATACTTCCGATGGTTATGTTCAAGCTTTTATCAAACCATTTAGTCCTCTTCTGTAGATTTGGTAAGTATTCTTTTATCCACCTCTGCCAGAATCGATCTGCTAGGCATTGGGAGACGCGCCATTGTTTTCTTCCATAAATGTCACCAGCTTTGAATACTCCAGGTATGTTTTCAGTATTTGCACTTCCTATAAGAAAATGCATCGGGGTTAATGCTCCTATTTCGCCACTATTTGCATCACTAGGAACGTGACTTATTGGTCGGGTATTGACTGTTCTCTCAGCCTCTAATAACAATGTCATCAGCAGTTCTTCTGAAGGATATTGTTCTTTCAAAGTATTGTATAGTACATTTTTCACTGTGCGAATTAATCTCTCCCAAACACCTCCTCTATTTGGAGCCAATGGTGCATTGAACACCCATTTTATTTTGAATTTTGATAATCTGGCTACCATATTAGTCTGATTCATTTCCTTGATACTATTCTTCATCTCATTTTCTGCACCAACGAAATTAGTACCATTGTCAGAATGAAGTTCTAGCGGTTGACCTCTTCTACTGATGAATCTCTGTATTGCCATCAAAGCTGAATCCGTATTCAGAGTTCTAGCAATTTCTATGTGTACTGCACGAGTATTGAAACAAGTGAACAGTACACCATATCGTTTTTCTCGACTTCTCCTAACCTTGATCAATAATGGACCGAAGTAGTCGACACCACAGTATGTGAACGGTCTTGTAAAAGGCTTCAAACGGCATTGCGGAAGAGGTGCCATTTCTGGTTGTATTGGTCGGGATTTTCTAATTCGGCATATTTGACAATTTCTCAAAGAAGTTTTCACACTTTGTCTACTTTTCAATATCCAATACTTCTGTCTCAAATTATTCAGTACTGTTTCTTGACCTACGTGATTCACCATTTCATGAAAATGGATAATCAACAATTCCACAGATTTGTCATGTCATGAATTTTCTTTAGCATACCAAAATGTAAGGGGACTGAGAACCAAAACAAATGATGTCTTCAATAATATTGTTTCGGACAACATCGATATAATCTGCTTCACTGAGACATGGTTAACCCCTGATATTTGCAGTGGGGAATTGATTGATGACAGATACGATGTTTTCAGAAAAGACCGTAACACCGAGGATTCCAGTAGAAAAAGGGGTGGGGGAACATTGGTAGCAATAAAAAAAAAATTTAAAGCTAAAGAAGTCTTGATCGTTACTCACATAGATATTGACAGTATTATAGTACAATTCAAAGTTCAAAAGCAAAATTACACACTGATAAATTGCTATATCAAATCTGGGGCAAAACGTGATGTCTATCAAAATTTTCTCGATCAGCTGGAACAATTAGAAATATTTAACCATAAAATCATAATCGTAGGAGACTTCAATCTCCCCATCACCGACACTCGGTATGACTTATATCAAGGTAATGAAGGCACAAAACGGTTAGCCGATTTCATCCAACTATATGGGTTACGCATGAGAAATGATATAAAAAATCAGGATGGTAAAACCCTAGACATTGTCATTACAAACGTTGATCTAGAAGTTCATCAGGAAACCCAGCCTCTATCAAAAGTTGATTCTAAATATCATCCTCCCCTCTCTATACAGTTGACTGAAGAGCTATATGAAAATGAACCTCCTCCTTTTAATCTCACGGGACAATACAATTTTCATAAAGCTGATTTCAGTAAACTTTATAAAAAAATTAGAGAAATTAAATGGGATAATATGAGAAATTTAAGCGATGTGAATGAAGGAGTAGCGTACTTTTATGGGAAAATATATGAAACACTTGATATATGCGTCCCCAAATTCAGGCAGATGCGGCGCAGGCCAGCAAAGTTTCCTCCCTGGTTCACACCCGAATTGAAGACTAAAATCAAACACAAAAAAATCTTACATAAAAGGAAAAATGATTCTGAATATTATATGAATAAGTTCCAAGAACTGAGAAAAGAGATTAAAAGAGAAACTGAACTGGCTCAATCCAATTATGTCAAAGATTTCGAAAAAAGTATACAGCAAAATACTAATAATTTTTGGAATTACATAAAGAGTAGGAGAAAAACAAAAACAAAAGATATTATCATCGAAAATAATGGTACCACATACAAAAGCAATGAAGATATAGCCCATGGATTCTCTCGCTTTTTTCAGTCTGTGTTTGGCGAGTCTTCAACTTATGAAATAAACGGTTCAACTGAGATGAACGGCCATAACACCATATTCCCTCAAATATATTTTGATATAGACCAAATTTCTCTTAAAGATATATCTGACTCAATCAGAAAACTGAAACCAAAAAAATGTGCTGGTCCCGATATGATTCCGCCGTACATAGTGAAAGGATGTTCTGAGATTCTTCTGAATCCTCTTCATATTTTGTTCAATTTATCAATAAAAACAAATACATTTCCAGATCTGTGGAAACAATCGATAGTATCTCCCATTCACAAAGGGGGAGACACCAGTAATTTCTCTAATTATAGACCCATATCAGTTTTGTCTTCGTTTGCTAAAATATTTGAACAAATTTTGCACAAAAAAATATTTGAACACATGAGGGGTATCGTTTGTGAAAATCAACACGGTTTTATTCCAAAAAAATCGATACTAACAAATTTGATGATCTTCACAGACGATATTTCTCAAGCACTTGATGTAGGTGGCCAGGTCGACGTTGTGTACACAGACTTTGCCAAGGCATTTGACAGGGTGAACCATGATATTCTGATTGAAAAACTTAACACATTAAGTTTCTCTCATACATCTCTAAAGTTCTTAACTTCATACCTAGCTGAACGCAAACAAATAGTCAAATATCACGGTGCACTGTCTGAACCCTACTCGGCGCTTTCAGGAATTCCGCAGGGAAGTAATTTGGGACCACTTTTCTTTGTAATCTTTGTGAATGATTTACCTGCGGTACTACATGAATCCACAGCATTACTTTATGCTGATGACTTGAAATTTTATAAAAATATATCATCGCAAGTAGATATTGACAAACTTCAACTAGACATCGATCGTATTTATGAATGGAGTATTTCGAATAAGCTGTTCTTGAATATTTCTAAATGCTTCACAATGACTTACACGAATAAAATGGTACCAATAACAAATCGGTATACAATGAATCATACTGAACTGCCACAGAAAGATTCACATTCCGATCTTGGAGTAATTTTTAATTCTACCCTAAATTTTGGAGAGCATATCGACCGAATGGTGAAATCAGCTTATAAAACACTGGGTTTCCTGATGAGAGTAAGTACCGAATTCACACATCATACGAGGAAAATTCTTTTTTGCAGTCTTATTAGATCGAAATTGGAGTTCGCCTCATTAGTTTGGGACCCTGGGACGCTTGTACATTCCTCCAGGATTGAAACAATTCAGAACAAATTCATATGCTTCCTCTATAGGAAAAAGTATAACCAGTACCCGGATTATGATTCCTATAACTTTATAAGGCGGGAATTTAATATTATGCGTCTTGATACTAGGAGAAAAATCTATAATGCACTCTTTTTAGTGAGGTTACTCAACGAGCACGTCAAGTCTGACATTTTATTATCAAGAATAAACTTTTATATTCCAACCAGACTCCGTCCCCGAAACATAGTTTTCAGAACTATAAGTAGGAGGGTTGCAAGAGAAAATTCCCCCCTAGTACGAATGTGTAATATCTTGAACGATATATGTGTTGCTCATAGAGAGTTGAATATATTCAATGAGCAAGAAAATGCTATTCGGAAAAACATATTTGAAATTTTTTCAAAGTAAATAATTAATTTTCAATAATTTATGAATTTTTTGCATTTTAATCACAAGAAAATGTTATCCTGGTAATTTTTTGTCCTTCGCATCGTGATTGCGGACGCTTTTATAACTTTGTATCACGTAATATTAATTATTGGTTTTCTCTTCCTCTGCTTTGCTGTCTAGGTTTCTAATTTGGAATATTCTGTAATCTGATCTCTTATATTAGTTACCTCTTTAGTTATTGCTCATTCTTTGTTTTGTTTTTTCTATGCTATACTGAATGTTGTATGAGATCGTTACATAGGCATAAGGCACTACAGATGTAATTGTAAACTTAGGACTTGTCCTGTATTACATCTCTTCATAAATAAATAAATAAATAAATAAATAAATGTTTGGAAGACGGTAGAATGATTGGGAATTTTGTGTCGAAGCAAACATCTGCATATTTGATTCTGCTATCCATTCGCAAGATACCATTTTCATCTAGAAATGGAGACAGTTCAAAAATATTAGATTTCTTGTTCAATTTTTGTCCCTTCTCTAAATCAATGATGTCTTCTCTGAACTTCTCTCTCTGAACTTTTTTCCACCATACATTTTCGGCAAACTTCATTTCTTCAGGATTCAATTCATCTTGATTTCTAGTCCTCGTCTGGATATTCTTCAGGAACCGGAAAATCCATGCTATTGTCCTTACCAGTCGAAACCATTTGGAAAATCTGTTGATATCTGGCAAGGAACTATCTATTTCGATGATAATATTAATATAT